CCATTTTCATTCCTTTGCAACAACAGACAAAATTTATGGCTATACTAGCAACCATCTTCTTGCCTGGAGACAGCTGCTGTGAGTCTGATTCTTAGAGTTTAGACAGACACAATAAGCAACTGTGTCAAAGCCACTTGGAATTGTGGCTGGCACACAGCTTTGTGGATCCTAGGAAAAGTAAGCACAAACTAGAAGGCAACATCTTCTTCCACTGATTCCCAATTTTGGTGTCAGATTAGCAGCAACAAAAAATACACTGAAAGATTGCAGGTTTAGGCTGCTCATGTTCTCAGATGTCTCTATCTGGTGGAAAGCAGCCCTGTGTTAGTGCGACCTACCCCTTCAGATCATGAGTGGTCTGGGCTTGTGGGCTTGCACAGGACACTGTGGGGTCCCTGCTCTAGTAATCAACTACCTCATAGTCACACTGATTGTGTGACTATGTTTGTCACATTTGCAGCAGGCAGTGACACCATGCTGTGAGAAACAACTACTCACTTTGAAAATTTAAAAAGGTTTATTAAACCTTAACAAAAATACAACAAAAGCACTGCATAAGGAAAAAATCACAGCGCTGGAAACTGCCCTCATGGATTCCACATGGCCAGTTCATCTCCAGGATGGATGCTCAGTCTTTTATACCTTGGGGGTTGCATCAAGCAGCCCTGGCCCCTCCCAAAGTCTGCCAGTCAGCTCTTCTTTGCCATTTATCGGTGGTTACTGCTTTCTTGCAATTTAACTGGAGATCAGGTGTTGCCATGCCACACCCCCTAAGCACCAAGCTTTTCCATTCCCAACTGCCCCAGGTAAGGGATACATGTGCACACCTTCTGTCTACCTGTCCTAGACAACCCAGGCTGTCTGATGGTCACAATACAGGGAGGGAAAGGGAACTATGGGGCGAGCAGAGGCCATCTAAACTACAATAACATAACTATACATCAATAAAGCTTTTCTTAATATTCAAACAATAGTTATCCCTTAATTGCGAGAGCCAATCACCTAATTAGCCATCTATGACACTGCTGTGCACCCATGTCCCTTTTGAGCTGGTACAAGAGCAGACATGACATGGTGCTCCTTTCCCACCCCCTTTCCCTGGGACAGATGCCCCACCTTTTGGGGAAGAGAGAGGAAGCACACATTAGTGTCTTCTCTTCCCTGAAGCTGGGAAGGGCTGCTCCAGCATGTCAGGATGGGCCTGCAGCCCTGTTCAGTGGCCAGGACAGAGCTGGGCACTGGCACAGGGAAGGGAGTGAATGGTGATTGCTATGCCAGCCAGTAGTTACCGGCAAACTTTCTCTTACAGCTCTCAGCCTGAGGGGATTGCTTAGCATTTAGCAGCTCTTATATTTCCATTGGCAATACTCACTGAACCTCAGCCGAGTGCATCGAGGAGATGTGAGTAGTGGGATAGGTTATTGATGCTGGGCTTAGGGTGAGATGGGAAAAATCAATGCCTGGGTGTGAATGTTCTCATCCAGGGTTTTTTGGGTTTTTTTGTGGTAATCAGGACAAAGATCATGGATGAGTGCCGGACCCTGATGTCTCTTACACTTGTCATCAGGGAAGGAAAGCAAGAGGAAAGGAGTACATTGGAAAACTGATCCCTACAGCAGCAGCAGCTATTGAAGACATCCTATTAAAGCAAGTAGGAGGCAGCTCCTCCAATGTGTTTCCCAGGCTGCAGTAGCAGTTCTGCAGTAACAGTTATGGTGTCTTTCTAACAGTGCAGAGAGGACAGAGGCCAACTTGCCAAGGAGCTGTCAAGAGGGACTCCAAAAAGGGTAAAAAGGAGCTTCTGGTGCTCAAGCATCTTGTGCACGCTCACTCTTAGCAAAGAGAGCAGAGGTGACAGTGGAACCACATGCTGTCATTCCAGAGGTGAGCCAGTTCTGGAAAGCAGTTCAGTCCAGTGCATTACTGGGAGTCAGGTGTCGGTGTACTGGGCCTGGCTTTGCTCGTAGTCTGCTTTAAGACACTGGGAATATAATTTCACAATTTTCTGCCCACTTCTGTGAATGGAAAATAAAAGCACTTACCTCCCTGGTAAAAGCATGCTGGTGTCTCTGAATAAGAAGTGCCGCTATTACTCCTTGTGACCTTTATTTTCCCACTTGAGCAAAGCATAAGTTGCTGGTGACCAGCAGAGATGGATGTCAATGGACACACCCCTGCATACCCTGAGGAATTGTCTGCAGGGGGACTGCTAGTGTCCCTGATTATCCATATAATGTGACTATATTGCGTGAAAGTGAGGGCAGGAATTTGGCCTGGAAGAAGTAAGGGGGCTCAACAGCACGGCCTGGGGATGCACACCTCTCCCATGGCCACCAAAACCCACTTTCTGCTTTTTTTTCTTTTTTCTTTTCTTTTTTTAGAGAGAGGAAAGATGTGCCAGTGGTAACACAGCTGGCCTGGGATGTGGCCACCGATCTGCACTGTGGTGCTTCTCCAGAGTCCTGGGGAAGATCATTAAGGGCCATTTCAGACCTACATACCTTGGAAATACTTTCTCTTAATTCCCCCATGCTTCTCTTTCTTATCTGAAAGGTGACTTTCAAGAATTTTCTGTCATGCAGGAGTCATGTGCAAGATAAGCAGCCTGAGATAAATGCCAAAGATAAGTTAAGGCTGTTATTTGAAAACCAGCTGAATAGGATTGAAAGTCTTTAGCCTTTAAGGGGGTAAGAAAAAGCCTTGGTCTTCATTACATGACTCTAGGCAACAGGCATGCTATTTTAAGATTTGTGGGCAAGTCTTGTTTTATCTTTTATCTGAACTGAGATTATCATGGCTGATACTGATACTGCAAATAACTGTTTGGTTTAGCTCTTCCATGGTATGCTATCCATCCAAACTGGTCCTTAAATGACTCCTCTGCTTGCCTGGAGGCCTGCAACTTTTTGTTCGAACAGCTGGACCACGTCCTGAAATCATTATCTCCTTGTGATGCACCTGGAAACTTAAAGGAAGTGGCTTGGTCAAACTTGGACAGGACTTTTTTGTTAGAGCCTGGAACTGAATCCCAGGCTAACATCCCACACACTGAGAGGGATGACTTCTCACCCTAGAATTGCCCAGCATTCTTGGATCTGACTTGGATACATTCAGGTGAGTGTTTTCCTTGTAAGTTTGGGTTCAAAATCCTGTGCAACCACAGCCTCTGAGCACATCTGTCAGAGCCACATGGCCACTTTTGGACAGGCAATCTAATGTGATGGCAAGGAAAAAAAAGGAAGAGGAAAATAAACATATGTGCTATGGAAATGTTTCATCTTTCAGACACGAAAAGAACAATCACAAAAAAAATGTTATGCCCATTCTGGAAAACATACAGGGATTGACATGGAAACAACAATGAAATATGCAGGCTATGGGAGCTACACAGTGCAGTACAACAAATGTCAACCACCTAAAGCTTTCTGACTGTGGAGAATATATCTGGTCCCAGGTTTATGGCTTCTGAGGCAATGGACTGTAATAAGATCACAGCAACCAGCTTCCTGGAAAAGTGATCTAGCTACAAATAATACATGCTCATAATTATTCTACAAATATCTCAATCAGTAGTCACTTGTGCTTCTTGTGCAGGCCAGTCATAAAATACAGTTAACAGAACAGCATGCACTATGCTCATAAAATTATGTGATAATTTGAAAGTTAATGTGCTCATTGTTACTGCCCCCTATGTTTATTTCTCACAAGTTACAGTAGGGAAGAGGTGGAAAGAAAGAAAAAGACAGGAGAAAAAAACTTACCTGTGCTTCCATTCCTCATATCCCTGCTTTGGGCTGCTGGGAAGCTCTAGGCAGGAGTCCTACCAGGTGCCTCTAAAAGCAGCATGCACGAGGGTGAAATCCTGTTCATCTTCCAACTCTTTCCCAGACACGTAAACAAAGCAATAGTAAATACACACAGTAAATATGAAAATACTGGTTCTTATTCTGCTTCTCTGCATAAATTCTTGACCTTGTCCAATAGAGTTTAGGCAGTGGTTATGAGTTTTAAAAAATGTGGGCTTTCTATAACTGCTAAGGGAGAGCTGCTGTTTGTGGCCCCATAGGAAAGCATGTGAAGGTTAGAAGTCAACTCCAGCCTGAATTCAGATTTTCTGGAGGAATTTACTTCAATTTGTGGAAAAATAGAATTTCCCAAACCAAAATGAACAACATCTTGCATAAATTTTCCTCACTACAATGCTTGCATAGATTGCATATTTTAATCTTTATCACTTCTCTTTTCATCATCTCAGATTTTACAGGTGAATCAGCTGAAATGTCCAAGGATTTCTGTTTGGATATAGATCCCCAGGCATCTTTCAGCTCAGACATAGAACAGTAGTGCACATTCTGGACAGCACAATCATCTTTCCCTCAATGATCAAAAAGGGCTGGTAAGATTATTTGATAGATCAACCTTTATATATATAAATATATAAATATTTATATATATATATTTATATATATATAATAATTTATATTTATTTATTATAATTTATTATTTATTTATATATTTTTATATATATTATTATTTATTTTATATATATATAATATAACAATTCAATTTTTCATCTAGATTTTACCAAAATCAGCTTCAGATAATGTTTCTGCATGTGCATGTGCACCTATGAAATAGAATCATAAAATGGTTTGGGTTGGAAAAAGATCTTAGAGATTTTGTAGTTCCAAACTCCTTTTCATGGGCAGGGACACTTTCCACTAGACCAGGTTCCTCAAAGCCCCATCCAGCCTGGCCTTGAACAGGGATGAACCATTCACCACTTCTCTGGCAGCCTGTTCCTTTGCCACATCACCACCACAGCAAAGAATTTCTTCCTTACCTGTAATCCAAACCCACCCTTTTTAAATTTAAGGTCATTCCCCGCATCCTATCACTGCATACTCTTGTAAGAAGTTCCTCTCCGGCTTTGTCCATGTGTGAAACAAGCACAAATGTGTGTATCTACAGAAAAAACAAGTGGAAGAAATCATGCTCACCTGGGATCCTGCAGGGCATCACCCAGAAGTGCCCCTCAGGGCTGTTGGTGTCCTTGGGCCATGCCAGCAGATGGAAAGCACACTGGTCCTGCAGCAGGAACTCCACAAAGAGCCAGGTGATGGCCACAGATGCAGAGCCAAAACAGGTGGTCAGATGGACATCTACACACAAATGTCCACAGCGTGAAAGAAAAGGCAGAGTAGAACTGCTCCCTGTGCACATATTTGGTGCAGGTGGTGATGTGGGGAGGTGGCAGCACCCTGGGTGTGATGTCCTTGCCCCCAGGGCTCTTCAGCAGCTGGATGATCTCCCTGTTGTGCTTCAAGGAGAGGTCCTGACCACAGGAGCTGACTAGGTAGCACCAGGACATGGTGAAGGTCAAGCAGGTCTCTCATGCAATGGTGGGAGGTGCTGCCCTAGACTGCCCTCTTTGCCCAGAAAATGAGGGAGGCACCAAGAAATCAGCACTGCCTGCTGGAAGGGAAATGGCTTCTTGAATGACATCCACATGAACACAACAGTCATTCTGGAGCATGAGCAACTCCCTGAAGAAAAGCTCAAAGGTCTCAAACTCTTTGTGCAAAGTCATGAAGTAGGAAGGGTGCAGGCGGCCTCCTCAGCTGTCAGGGCGCAGGTGATGCGGTGGCTCTGTGTGACATTCTCTGTGCAGCTGGGTTCTCTGAATGGCATTTTCCTTCAGAAGGACACCTTGTCCTCAACAAGTGCTTTACAGGCTTCTGCTAAAAATCAAGCTTGCTGAGATGTTCAGCCTCCAAAGAGGTTTTTGTGCTTGCAAATTAACAGTGTAGAAAACAAATGGAAATGAAACACTGTGACTCAGAACAGCAAAAGGGCAATATCTGTGTGTTGCACAGAGGAGCAATTCATTGCTCCTCAGAAAAAGTCTCTCTTGAAACACAACATCAGACACCACCAACAGTGTGTTTTGATGGCTCTGCTTGCTTCTTGCTGGAAGAGTCATGGATCCATCTGATGTAGAGCGTGCAGCTGCTGCCCTTACTTTCAGTATTAATAGTTGCACAGTCATCACTGATGTGGAAAGAGTATAAGTGAAGAACAGTTTGCAGATGGAAGCTGCTCCACAGCACCCTGAAGATTAAACAGACATATTGCATAATTATTGTCTTGCCAATGAACAAGCTGGCACATGTTTCAGAGTGTCCCCAAATTCAATGTATGGGTATGTTCTTAACTGCTTCCTCCCCACTCTCCCTGCATGTATCATACAGCTGTTAAAATTTCTGTGCATGTACCCATCTTACTTGTAGGATTTTTTTTAACCACTCCAATGTGTCAGCCATCACTGCTTCTGAATTGTGAAAGACTTGTAACATGAAATAAATACTACTTCAATATGTCTCAATGACAATTACACTACTAGACCAAGCATATAGGTAAACTATTGTGGCCTCCCTGCTCTTTGTTATTCTGGATAAATACAATTTCCAGAAGGCAATAATCAGAAACCCAGTTCAATACATACCATTTTCCAGCCAAAGAACACAGGATTAAGAAGAACCACTCATCCATCCTCTACCTCTATATTTCTGTCTTCACTATTCTTCATTTCTCATGTAAGGCCACCAACACTCACATATAAGAAGCAAGAGAATTTTTTTTGCCCTGGTGTAGAGTTATGTCACAGCCATCAGCTTATTTCAGCAATATTTTCATTTGCAAATTTGAAATCTGACAAACAGTCTCTACTAAGAGTCATGGATGACTTGTGATGAGCTCCAGGTTTACATCTGTGGGGGTGCTTGAGGGTTCCCAGGATGAGGGAAGAGATGAGAATCTTGACTCCAGGTTTCAGAAGGCTGGTTTATTATTTTATGATATATATTATATTAAAAGAAAATGGTATACTAAAACTATACTAAAGAAAGAGAAAGGACACATCAGAAGGCTAGAAAGGAACGAATAATAAAATCTTGTGACAGACGCCGAGAGTCTGACACAACTGGCTGTTGTTGGCCATTAATTAAAAACAATTCACGTGCAACCAATCAAAGATGCATCTGTTGGTAAACCATCTCCAGACCACATTCCACAGCCATCAGATAGTTATTGTTTACATTTAGTTTCTGAGGCCTCTCAGCTTCTCAGGAGAAAAATCCTAGTGAAATGATTTTCATAAAATATGTCAGTGACATACATCCATCACAAGGAACTGGGTTAGCAAAACCTGCTATTAAAACTATTTAAATTAACCCTAGGCTTACTGATGAAAAATTTGTGTTTCTAAGAACTGTGAATGCATCTGGTATAACATGTAAAGGCAATGAGAGCTTGACACAGCTCTGACTAAAGTGAAATCATTGGTCTCTTTGTTGCAGCTGTGAGTCTGTTCATGAGGATCTCCTGCCATGACACAGCATGTTTGGGGCACGCAAACTTTTCTCAACATCACATTATTTTGCTCCAATGTGAAGCAATGCTGAGGCAAAGCCAGTTGATCTGAGATTTTGCCAGTGAGTGCTCTGAGTGGGCAGTGCATTGTGCTACAGAGGGAGAGATGCTGCTGCAGGCCAACAGTGCAACTTGATAAAGGTGCACAGATCCTGAGCTGAGACCACTACACAAGTCTAGCAATGAAAAGCACAGCATTCCTGCAGGGGTCAGGGTTTCATTGAGAGGGGTCTCAGCTGGGGGCAGAGAGCACAGGTAGCTTTCCTGAAATACAAAGGCTGAGATCTTTCAAGGCATTTGGATGTCTTGGAAACTGTCAGACCTTAGAAAACTGCAGTAATCTTTTAAAACAGTAGTAATCTTTTAAAATTTGCTTCACAGCTAGAAAAGCCTCTAGGATCTCAAAATATATACATTATATATATATATGAAAGGAGATTCTTAGTTGTTGAAGCCTGCATTACTAGCATGATCCATATGAAACAAGTAAAGCTACACTCAGAAAATGAGATGAGTCTGCTCTTCGCAGGAGTGCAATGCAAGATTTAATTTTTCCTTGGTGTGTTTTGTTGTTGGTTTGGGGGTTTTTTTCTTGCACAGACATTGCTGCAATTCATTTGCAGAAATCCAGAGTCACTGTGATCCTTTGGTACCAATAGCCTTGGGGAAAAGAAGGCTGCACGCTTGGTGCTACTTCTTAATCCCAGTGCCTTGATTCTCTGGCACAGTTAATATTTAGATACCTGAAAACATACATGTAAATGATAACTGTGGGAAATCAAACTGTCAAAACCTTTGGGGTTTTGAGGGACTTTTTTGGGTTTCTTTTTTGGTTCTGCCTTGTGCTGCTCTGTGTGAAATGGGCCCATGCTTGAATTATAGGAAATAATCACCAAACTAACCCACACCAGAAAAAAAAAAAAAAAAGCCAACACACAAACCAAAAAACCAAACTAAAGCCAGTCAAACATTAAAAAAAAAAAAAAAAGCATAAGTCACATGAGCCACCTCAGTGGAAAAAGTATTTTTCAAGTATTGTTGTTGTTGATTTACAGACTCATCCAAAGTTCAGATGCAAGGAGCAGCCAAATCTAAATGTACATCTGAACCATATTATATCATCTATTACCACCAAGGTGTGTGAAAACATCATGAGGGTCCTGGCTTCTTCTGTTGTATATTGTATGCAGACCTCTGCATATTCTGGGTACAAGAACAGAGTTATGGAACAACATTAAAAAATGATTGAATTTACCATGCAATTTAACAAAAAGTCTGTGTAAAAGGGTTCTGTGCTGGCAGAACTAAAACTGCTGAGATTTGCAGTGCCACTCCTTTCTATTGTTCCCTGGACCTGCACTGAAGCAATTTTCCTTTAGCATGAGAGGAGTTTTTGGTGTGGCTCCTGTAGTGGAAACATACTCCCCAGTTGGATTGGGGATTGAAATGTCTTCCACGGGGATGAATGAGAATAGACCTTTCCAGACAATGAGGATATTATCTTAGGAATAGGGTTAGTACTCAGTAAACTGCTCCTGGCCTTAACAGGTATAGGTAATTGGTTTCAGCTAATTTGTTAGCTAATTAAAAAGCAAGATGCTCAGGTTTTGCACATTGGTTTTGAGTTCCTGTTTGGCCTCAGTCAGTAGCAACAAATGTGATGCATTTCATGTTTATTTGGAGTCACTTGGCATTTTTTATTCTGTTGTGAGGACAAAACCATCTGTAGGATGATGTTCCTTTTCCTGGCCCTCTCATGCAAAGCCGTCAGTTTGAGCTGGCACCACTGTTAAATTCACAGTGAGCCTGTGGGGACCAAACAATTTTTCCTCAGCGTGGTTTTTCTGGGAAGTGCATGCAGCCACAGATTGCTGTTCTGTGCCCAAGTAAAGGATCTCTTCATCCCTCACACCTTCTGAACTGAATGAGATCAAACTGCTTTGGTCTTGTGTTGGTTTGGGATGTCCTACAGTGTGCATGGGCTCTCTAAAACTCTCCCCTTGGAGCAGCCCTGCCTGGCAGGGGTCTCCTCTAACACGAGCTTTACTCACATACCCTGTCTGAGCTGGAGGGCTGGAAGCTGTCATCACAGGGGAATGAAAGCAGCACAAAAGCAGTCAAAATTTATTCCTATCACTCCTCTGCCTTCCCTTTTTTCTTGCTATAGCAGTTCCTCTGCACTTCCCAGGCAGCCATAATCTGACTGCTGAAAGAGAAGAAAACTCAAACCTACCTGAAGCAGGAGTTCCCAGGCGAGCACACTGACACGGGACAGTCACAGCGCAGCAGCACAGGCAGCAGACGGGAGGAGAGATGGAATGACACATTGAGGCAAGTGCTAGCTCAGCTCACATGGTCCAGCAAAGCCATCGAGTAATCTAATTGCACACAGCCAGTGAGCACATCTGTTTGCACAAACAGCAGGGGCCAGACAATGCATCCATCCCATCCGCCTTTGTCTTGCTGCCGTCTCCAGCTCCAGACACGGAGCCTCCCACCCTGCAGGAGCTTCCCTGCTTGTCTGCATTTGCAGCAGACTTTCAGTACAAAGGTTTTGGGAATAGGCAAGCTGCCTAGCCTCTTAGCAGAGCGCATTTTCCAAATCAGACTTTCTAGCGCTCCAAAGCAGAGCACTCACAGCTCCCTCCTCCAATTAATTTCCAACAGGGACACGTACTCACCTCTGTGCAAACTACTCCTCATCACCTGCTCAGGAGCAACGGCATCCTCTTCCCTGCTCATTTATCCTCCTGCACAGGGAAAGCAAGACATAATTAAACACCTCCTAATAGAGGACAGGCAGGCTGTGGTGTGAAGCTGGTTTTAGCTGGCTTTCTTCTGTAAATATGACTAGATTTTATAGCTGACACTGGTGTAGCCAAGGCAGGATAGGGATCTGTTTTCTCCCTGCAGATTAAAATCCGCATTAATGTACAATAAAGCACAGTTGTACATGTGCAGCCACCATTTGCCCTGGAGGAGTGTCCAAAAGCAGCTTACAATGGGTTTTGCAAACCTTTGGGCACTTGCTAGCTTTATGAGCACGAACCCGAGGTGTTCCCCTCGATGGTGTGAGACCCTCAGAGAGGCATCAGGGCAGGGCAGTGTCCCTGCAGCCTGGGGTCTGCATGGCCAGGGGTCTGCTCCCAGCTGCAGGTGTGTTAGCAGCCAGAGCAGTAAAGCAGCCCCATTTGCAGGTTGGGAGTCACCTGCTCTGCCAAGCAGGCCTGACAGCCCCGTTCCACAGCCCTGGGTGCTGGTACGGGTGACTGGCTGTGCCAGAGAGAACAGATACATGGGTCAGATCACTGCCAGTATTTTAATGCCTCCACTACACATGTAGCAGTATCATGCTCTTTATTCTGACAATATAACTTGTTGCCAGGTACAACATGAGCAGAGAAAGCTGAGAACTCATAGGGATCCAGAAAACACCTACTGTCAGGAATGAGTGAAAATATATATATGTTTATTATGGCATTAGACAAAATAAAGGGGGGGGGGGGGAGGAAGTCTTCAAATATGTAAAAAAGGCAAATCAGAAGCAAATTC